GACTCGTCGTCTCCTCCCTCCTCTCTCTCTCTCTCTCTCTCTCTCTGCCTTTCTTTCGTACACAATCTCTGTTTCACCCCTGTAGCCCTGTTCTGCTTCCGCTCGATCATCCATCCAGCCGTTCGTCATAGGAGCACACGGCTTTTAAAAAAGTGAAGCGCTGGACTCGGGCCAGCGCAAAAATAGAAGCAGATGTTGTTAGTTGCGTTCAGTAAGTACACGAGCCGCGCCGTTTCGACGATGGATCCCTCGAGCTTTTGCCCCCAGGAGGAGGGAATTAGGGAGGGAAAAAGGAAGCGATGGAAGGAGGGGAGAGGATCGAAGAGGGAGGAGGGAGGATGGAGTTAAGAAGGATCTCTTCCTCTGGAAGGCAGGCTGATCTCATTGCCCTTGAATTCTTACTAACAGGCCTCTTAGATAAAAATAATTAGCCAGATAAATGCGAGGTGTCGCTAGGTGGCGCGCTCTGCTCGGAGGATTTTATTCTTGAATCCATCGGGTGCCATGACTCTCTCTCTCTCTCTCTCTATCCCCGCCTCGGCTCTCTTCTACTCGAACATTTTCGTCCGATGCCATCGACCAAATGTTTTTGCTTTGAAGTCGGCAAGATGAACGGGGGAACCTCCTTCTAATTTCCACCGTCTGCATTCTTAACAGCTGCGCGCAACACGCTTCGATACGGCTGGCGGGAGAGGCCGTGTTTAATTAGTATCGTGTTTATGCGTGTCGCTGCCCTTTTAAGTTTCCCGGGGACAATTTCGAAATCTGTCGATCGCGTCGTTTCTATCCGCGGTTTCGCGGATTGGAAGATTTGCTCGGGAAGGTCAGTGATCGGTTGGAGCTCGAGCCGAGAGCTCCTCGTCGCGTTGTTGTGCTCGAATTCGTGTGACTCATCGTCCCGTGTCGCTCGGTGTTTGAGTTCATCGAAATTATGTTGCGGGCTTTCACTCGATGGATCTTATCGGTAAGAATATTTGAAATTATTAATTATTTGTTAATAATTTTCTAGTTCGTGTTGTTGGTTTCTGCGATTCTTTACCTGTGCTCATTTAATGTTTCGATGTTATTCGTCGATATTATTCGATTTTCCTTCGAGAATTTAAAATTATATCAGGAATCATCTTAATCAATGGGCTTAGATTTGTATTGAATAGATTCGTTTATTAATGATTTTCTAGTTCGTATTGTTGGTTTGTGTAATTCTTTACTTATGTTCGTTTAATTCGACGTCGATATTATTCGATTTTTCTTCGTAATTCGAGAATTTAGGATTGTATCAGGGATCATCTTAATCGATGAATTTAGGTTTGTATTGAATAGATTCTTTTGTTAATAATTTTCTACTTCGTATTGGTGATTTGTGTGATTCTTTACTTGTATTCGTTTAACGTTTCGACGTCAATTTTCCTTCGTAATTCGAGAATTTAGGATTGTATCAGGAATCATCTTAATGGGTTTAGGTTTGAATAGATTCGTTTGTTAATAATTTTCTTCTTCGTATTGTTGATTCTTTACTTGTATTCGTTTAATGCTTCGACGTCTATATTATTCGATTTTCCTTCGTGATTCGAGAATTGTATCAAGAATCATTTTAATGTACATTTAACGTACGATTGATGAGATTTGTATTAAATAGGAATTAATATTGTTATAATTTGAATTTGTGAAAGATAGGATAGGAAAGTATTCGATAAAATTAAAAATATGTGGCGAAAATTTGCGCCGCAATTCTCCGTCGACTCTGTGTCTGTTTCGTAAACAAAACAAAGCCTTGGTCAAATGCGATACACAAACGCGATACACAATAAGAAATACGAAAATTTACAATATGACTCATGACCACGTATATTCTTTTTACAACTTCTACGAATACATCGTAATAAATTTATGATATTTATGCGCGTGATTGATCCTTTCGGGGAAAAATTGTTCAAGGATAAGCGTAACGTACAAAGCGAAAAAAGGAATCGATCCCGTTTCTTTGTTCATACAAAGCAAAATTCTTTTTGCCACAACGATTTTGCATAATTATCGATAAAGGAAAATTAAACGCAGGTAAAGCGAACCAACAATCATCGCGTATCCAACAATCGCGAAATGATATCCCTGGCATTATGGAATTGGAGCAGGGGTGGCGCGCAGGCGGCGATTTCAACTATTAGATCGGTCCTTAGAGAGTTTTGGTCGATTTGCAGATTACGAGTCCCCGGGATGCAAGGCTGACATGGCAGAGGGTTCGGCCGAGGAGGAACAGAGCAGTACCGCTGCGCCCGCTTCCCCGCCAGCTGATCTTCGCACTCTGAACACCCAATTGTCGCCGCCTTATCACCACCAGTCCCATCTCCAACCTCGTCTTCAGCATCTGCAGCATCCCAACATGTTGGCGACCGCCGTGCCGCCCAGGCACAGCCACAGTATGCTGTCTCATCAGGTGAAAACGGAAGCCGAGTTGGACGCGCCCTGTGATGTGCCATTGAATCTCAAGAGCGAGGTAAGTCCTCCATGAATCCACTATCTTCTATCCACCTCTCTCTCTCTCAAGAGAGAGAGAGAGAGGTCGATTAATGTACCGTGATCGATTAAGATTCGTTCTAATCAACGCGGGAACATCGAATTGCATCGATGCTCGTTAAATACGCGATTAATTAAATTTGGATAATATGTAAAGTGTCGTTCGCGTGGATGTCGTTCGACGGATGGATCGAAGAAATTTGTTGGAAATATCGTATTGAAATCGAACGTATTCAGTTTCTTTCGTCGAATTTTCGAAATTGAAATTGTGGGTTTTCGAATTCTTCGAGGATCGTAATTAAAGGGGTGGCTAATCACCGTGATTTATATCACTGTGATTATTTTTTTCTTTTTTTTTCCTTCTCTCTGTGTATTTATGTTTATGAGATATCAAGTCACGAGAAAACGTTTTAGAAAATTGAGAAATAGAAACGGCTATTAAAATTTATAGAGAGTATCGTTATAAAATTTCTTACGATCCTTGGACTCTTCTTTTGCTTAATAGAATTAGAAATCGATAATTTATGATAATTTTTAGTTAGATCATTTTCGATTCTTGCGAATATATAAATAGACGCAAATAGATAGAAATATTTGAAATTATTGGACAAACGAGCTGTATATTTTCCACGATTCGGAGCGAATTAATTTCTCAATTCTAGTAATTTCGGCCGGAGGCAAACGCGAGGATTCCATCCCCCGATATCTGCGGGCTGACGTTCCAGAACGTTAATAGGAAAGACCCTCGGTCGAAAGGATCGTCACACTCGTTAGTAACGGTTTTGTGTGTCAATGACAACCAATTGTCTGGTTAAGTAGCTGCCGCGCCGCATCCCAACCTAAATCGGCCAATGGTCTCTCTGACCTGTATACGATTAACGTACAAAACAAAGCGTGTCGAACGACTTCCATGTGGACGGCCGGGGTCAATGTACCAAGCTGATTCTTTCTTTAGAGATTGCACAACGCGTGATACCCGATCATCAATCTGAAATCAAATTGTCCCCCCCAAACCTTATATGTCCAAACAATTGAGAAGCTTCCTGGATGAACGTGATTAAATTGTCTCGGCTGTTTGTTTTAATTGAACACGTTTCAAATGTAATAAAAAATTAAGCTCGAGGATGAAATAATTATTAATTATCCGCCGTTCCAGTGAGTGGATAATCTTTTCGTTTCTGAAAAATTGATGAAAAAGATTTATAGGTTACGGTGCTACTTCTCTGACATATCGTTTTTAATTAAAATGTGTCTAATATACGAGCCGTATAAAAACCAATTCGATTTTGCTGAAAAATATGTAATTTTTACCACTTCTCGTGTCCATTAGACACATGATAAATCAAATATATATACGATCCACCAGAAAAAGTTCTCGTAACAATTTTTCCCGGAAAGTTTCTCGAATGTTACCTCCTTAACCTCAAAGCGAAGAAAAAAAAAAAAAAGAAGAAAAAAAAAAGAAAAAATGATCGAACATGGCGTTGTCGCCATAATAACCATTTTACATTTGTACATCATAAAATATTATTTCCACCGAATGGAAATAATTCAACGATCGTAAAATTCCCTCGAACAATTTTCACTCGACTTGGACAATTTCTCCCCGTATATCAAACACCCGTGTGTATATAAATCGTGTGTATAAAACGTGCAATCTGTTCGGGCACGCGATACGAAATTTCCACGAATCATAGATCACACGCGACTCTCTTAAGCCCGCGTATCGACGTGGCGGAGGAAAAAAGAAGACAAAGGCGGGTTATCGGGTGGTTTACACGTTCGTTTACCGGTAGTTCACTCGTGTGGCCAATCTAATCTCCATACTGGGAGAGCGCCGTGGTCCGGGCATTAAGAGAACGGGGCCCGGCTCCGTGTTATTACCTTAAAACTGGCGGAAAAGGTTGCTCCCGTTAGGTTGCATCGGTTGCGCCCGTGGGAAAATCGTAGCAGATAGAATGTCAAAGTTTCTAACGGGGCTACGTGTGTACCACCACGGTATGCGACTTCTCCACCGCGCGTATATGCGCACGACATTTGCCTAAGCGTTTGCGCGAAACACTTCCGCGTTCCACGCCACGGAGTAAAGTCTAATCACGGTTTCCAAGCCGCCCCTCCATCCAGCGTCGATCATTTATCAGCCTGTGATCCGTATCAGAGAATCGAGCGCTCGATCTTTATTACGATCGTGATCTCTTTCTTGGTCTTTATTTTTCTTTTTTTTTTCTTTTATTTTTTGGAGGGATATTGTGCGCGTTCGTTACCACGGATCGGATAATTGTTTATTATAATCCTTAGATCTCGAGGAAACGGGTATAGACTCGCATGATCGAGGAACGGATTTGAGGTTAGGTTCGTGTATATGGAGCTAGTTGCGTGCTACGCGCGAAATTAGTATTTATGGGTGGTCTGTTAACGAGAACCGTTTTGTTCGGTTCATAAGCGGTGAATTACTTGGTAGCCGATAGGTATTCGAGAGAAAGAGATTAGGATTCGTGGTTAAATTTGATTTAAGGAGAATTTTTTTTTTTTAAGGAAACCTTCGCTCTTTTCGCATAGCGATTTTTATAGGATCCTAGAATCCTTGGAATCGTAAATTCCATCGATATTTAGAACTTTTATTTATACATTTTACATATGATGAGATAAAATATATTTCTCGCGGATCGACACGTATATACGCGAGAAACTCGAAAGGAACGACGAATTTCCACCCCGTGCAAAAGCTTATACGTAACAGGGAAATTTTCAGAAGCTCGTTTAAAACGATACAGGAAGGACTAACAGAGCTTAGCCGATATTAACGTGTAATCCTAATTGTCGGTCGCATTCGTCGGTTGTATTATTAAAGTTCGACAAAAGCGCTTCTTTTCCCGGGGACGGCCGGTCGATTCCGGGCATCGCGGAACAAATTCGTCCGTCCAACAATGCACAACAATGATGCCAATTAGCCGACAAAAGAGAATAATAGTATACCAGAAGAGGAACCGCGAGCCGTGGCCAGCCTCGAGACTAGAGTCTCGAAAACAGCAGTCTCATCCGTTGGTCCACGCTCTCCCTCCCTCCGCCAACCCTCTATCCATCCATTACACTATTATCCCCTCGGCAAACATCCAGGATCCATCCACGCATGGACTTAATGCCTCCCAGGATCGGGTGTCTGAGGAAGGGGGGAGGTGCAATTTACGCGCAAAAGAACTAGGATGTGTTTCACAGCGACTACGAGCGGAAAAAAGAAACGGGCCCCCTCCTCTCTGTTTAACAGCATACATAATAATGTCGCCGGTGAGCTTCGGCCGTGCGTGGGGGCGGTGGTTGCCGCGTTCCAGCTGAAATATGAAAAGATTCTCGGCGAGAAATTGTCCGGGATTCTTTTTACTTATCGCTGTTGACGCGTCAAAGATGCTCAGGGTTTGTTCATATGTTTTTTTTTTTTTAATTAGAGTATGCAATGGGTTTGGTGCAGTGGCACGTTTATCTTATCTTTTTGAAATTTTTATTAGACGGGGTTGAAAATTTATTAAAGAGGGATGGAAATTAGAAATTTTGATAAATGAAAGAGAAGTGTGAGCGCAGTGAATTTAAGTGGTGACAGAATTTTTTGATCGATATATATCATCCTTCATCGTAGAATCGAATATATAAAATTGCAGGTACGTTAATTTCAATTTTTATTGAAAGAAAAAAATCAAATTACAATTTTTCCAAGATGGAACAACGATCGTCGATTAATGATGATAAATTATCGAACGACGCTTTCTTAACGATTCTCTCAATGTCACTGTACTTATTTCTCTTCTAATTATGGAATATCTTCTTCTCGCGAGAATAATGGACATTCAGCAACAAGATAATAAGTAACGAGAGAATACAAAGGCAGAGTCCTTCAAGGATTTTCGTCGAAGACGCACGAGGCCGTTCGTGACTAAACGCGAGTCACTCGACTGAAAAATTCTTCGTGAAAGATCGTGCGCGCGAAGACACGATCATAGACGATTAAAAATCATAAAAACGTTGTTGCGAAAACATTGGATAGAATATACGTGTTCAATGCTATCGGTCACGGTTTTCTCATGGTCATCGCTGCTTTCGCTATTTCTTCTTATTGTCTCATTGAAACAGTTACGTTCGATTCCATCTACGTCTAATGCTTGCAGAAATCCTGCAAAGGTTACGCTTATACTTTCCTAAGATCTTTCTTCCCATTAGAATACGAAACTATACGTAACAAAATCAGATAACGCAATCATCGAAAGTAGAAATTATTATACCGGTGTAAAACGAACGTGAAACTTTATCGGCAAAAGAAAATTTTTTCGCGATTGTATTCTCTATTTTTTCTATACATTATTCCCATTCCGCAATGGAAACGAACATTCCTTGAATTATTCCTTCCATTTTGTATCGTTCCTAAAATTTTGCTACGATTTTTTATATTCATTGATTCTCACTTTCCTGAAAGTGTGATCTCGCATCTAACGAAGTGTTTTACGTTACTTTTGTACATTTAACGTTCAAACATAATCTCCCAAAAAGAGAGAGAGAGAGAGAAGAAAAAAAGAAAAGAATAATCCCGATTTTATCGCGAAATACACGAAGTCGAAGCGGCATCGAGGGCATTGAAATCACCCAGCGTGCGGCGTCAAAAAAGACCAGCGGAAAGAAAGTTTCCCTCGAATCTATGAGAAACCACTGGCACAGTCATGATCCAGCATCTCCACACAACTTGGGACACAAGTTGAAATAAAAACAGAGAGGGGCGTCGAAATGTATCGAGCAAGCTTTGGCAGCAACAGCAAGTCGATATGTATCTGTTCGGTTAAACAGGAAATGGATGCGTCGTCACGAACGTGTCCTTAAGAGATTCTTCTTAAGAAAAGTGTCGCGTTCGAGAGTTCCGACAGAGTTGGAATATTATAAAATCGACGATTTCGAGATTTTTGCCGAAAAAGCAGCGTGTGATTGAACTTGACTCTTTGG